GTATCTGTATCTGAAATGGGCCACTCCCATTACCACTTCAAAAGTTATTTTTCCTCCCTTGGTATCCTGCTGCTAAGTGAATTGTCTCGTTAGACTGACCCCTCATTTGGTAAGGAAACTCCTGTCCTTTCACGTATTTATACCTGCTCCTGTATCTTCCACTCCATTCATCTGAAGAATTGGGTTCTAGCCCACGAATGCTTATGCCCAGATAATTTTGTTAGTCTCTAAGGTGCCACAAGGACTCCTCGTTGTTTTTACTTTGGAGTTAGCTTCCCAGACCTGAGGAAGGGCTGTGTGTAGCTTGAAAGCTTATCTCTCTCACCAACAGCAGTTGGTCCAATACAAGATATTGCCTCACCCACCTTGTCTCTCAGACTTTGGACAGAGATACTCAGCAGAGTGGACTGGCAACCCCCACTCTTTGCACCCTAGAAGGAGACTCAAAAGGGAGCACCCCAGTGCTCTGTGGCACACTAGTTACATTTCCCCTTCCTGAGCTGCTGCTGGCAATTACTGAAAGGATGAAGTGTAGAATCCATTATGACAGGAAACTTGCCCACCCCGCCCCCACAGTGGGAGAGACACCTCTCCCTCTAGGAGTGCATGCACCATCCCCTACTATGTACCTGGCATGAGGCGCTCCTGGGTGTACCACAGGGCAAAGCCATCCCCGTGTAGGTTCTTCTTGCCTGCTCCATGGATCTTGAAGTGGACATGGAGCTCCCAGTCCTTGAGGAAGCAGGGCTGTGAGAAGGAATCACACTCAGTACCATGGATAGCATTTCATGGACACCTCCCCCACCCATGGGGACTCCCAGACAGAACTTCTTAGCCATTGCACCCTCTCTCTTTCCTTTCAAGGACATCAGCTATAGCCCCCACAGAAGCTGCAGCGTTCACCCTCATTCAGGGTTTGGAACTCCAGCTCCCGAGTTACCCAGATGGAATCCCCTCCATCTCAAGGCTGCACTCACCACACGGTTCCAGATGGAGCCCTCTTTGCTGCGCTCATCAGGAGTCAGGCGGACATACTGGCTGGTGAGCATTGTGCTCCCCTGGAAGTCCCAGAGGGGCATTGAACTGGAACCAACCCCTAGAGCAGAGAGAACCGGTACAACAGAGATCACAAGCTAAGCCGAGAGGGAAGGGCTGCAACGGCTCTGGGAGCTGCAGAGAGTGACCGTGCTGGGGGCAGGCCAAGCTGGACAAACGCCAGAGAAAGGCCTGTGAGGACTCAATGGGAAGGTGGGGCCAGCGAGCCTCCCAACGTCTCTGCCCTGCTCCCGGAGGAGGAGAAGCAGCCGAAGTGGGGCAGGGCCTGTCGGAGCAGGGCGTCCCCAGCCCCGCTCCCCCCAGGCCCCTGCCCCTCACCCTGGTAGGGGAGAAGCGGCCGGGGCCTGTCCCAGAGGAGCGTCCCCTGCCCCGCTCCCCCAGGCCCCTGCCCCTCACCCTGGTAGGGGAGAAGCGGCCGGGGCCTGTCCCAGAGGAGCGTCCCCTGCCCCGCTCCCCCAGGCCCCTGCCCCTCACCCTGGTAGGGGAGAAGCGGCCGGAGCGGGGCGGGGCCTGTCGGAGCGGGGCGTCCCCAGCCCCGCTCCCCCCAGGCCCCTGCCCCTCACCCTGGTAGGGGAGAAGCGGCCGGAGCCTGTCGGAGCGGGGCGTCCCCAGCCCCGCTCCCCCCAGGCCCCTGCCCCTCACCCTGGTAGGGCTTGGTCAGCGAGTGCTCCCGCTTCAGGTGCTCGTTGTTCCCGTCGGTGAGCTCGGCGGCCCCGCGCCGCAGCCCGGGCGCCAGCAGCAGCAGCGCCCCGCACAAGAGGCCGCGCACGGGGCAGCCTCGGCCCCACCGCCCGCGGCGCGCGCAGCCGCCTCCGCCCGGACCCGCCGCCATCCCGCTCCCCCTGCTTCCGGCCGGAACCGGAACGCACCAGCCGCCCCGGAAACTCCCAGCAAAGGCTGCGCCAGCCCTCCAATTAGAGCCCGGCCGGCCGGGGCTTCCGGGGGAGACCCCGCCCCCACGCAGCGCAGCTAGCGCGAGAGCTCCAAGTCACGCGCGGTATCCATGGCAGCCGAGAGGCGGGGCTAACGAGGCTCATACCGCTCCCAGCATGCACTTGGGACGGTGGGGCGTGAATAGCTTCTCCAGCAGGCTCTCGCCCGGGGGACTACAACTCCCGGCATGCACTTGGGCTAGGCCTGTCGGGCCGCGGCGCCCCTGGCCTGTGGTTTGTCTGCGTCTCTGCGGCGTCGGCTCGGCTCCCGCGCCATTGACCCCGCCCCTCCCCACGGACCGCGCGTGACCCCGCCCCTCCCCACGGACCGCGAGCCGCGCGTGACCCCGCCCCTCCCCCGGCAGCGCCCCGCCCCGCCCGGGTCCCCGCGCGCCAATGACTCAGCCGGAGCCGCCGCGGAGCCCAGCCAGCTTTATTGGCGGTGCCGAGAGAGCCCGGGCCGCGGGCCGGCGGGATCCCGGGGCAGCCCGGCCCGGCCCGCGCGGAGCTGGGGGGTGTCGGCCGCGGACCCAGCCCTGGCCCGGGGGCGACCCGCGTGGGCTCTGGGCGCCGCCTGGCCGGCCCCGCGGAGCTGCAAGCGCCCCCCGGCAGCGGGAGGGCCGGGGCCGGGGCCGGGGCCGGGGCCGGGTGGGGGCAGCGGGCGGGGCTGGGGGAGCGGGCGGGGCGGGGGCTGGGTGGGGGCAGCGGGAGGGGCAGGGGTTGGGTAGGGCCAGGGCCAGGGGCTGGGTGGGGGCAGCGGGAGGGGCAGGGGTTGGGTAGGGCCAGGGGCAGGGGCTGGTGGGGGCAGGGGTTGGGTAGGGCCAGGGCCAGGGCCAGGGGTTGGGTGGGGGCAGCGGGAGGGGCAGGGGTTGGGTAGGGCCAGGGGCTGGGTGGGGGCAGGGGGGGGCAGGGGTTGGGTGGGGCCAGGGCCAGGGGCTGGGTGGGGGGCAGCGGGAGGGGCCAGGGGTTGGGTAGGGCCAGGGCCAGGGCCAGGGGCTGGGTGGGGGCAGCGGGAGGGGCAGGGGTTGGGTAGGGCCAGGGGCAGGGGCTGAGTGGGGGCAGCGGGAGGGGCAGGGGTTGGGTAGGGCCAGGGGCAGGGCCAGGGGCTGGGTGGGGGCAGCGGGAGGGGCAGGGGTTGGGTAGGGCCAGGGGCAGGGGCTGAGTGGGGGGCAGCGGGAGGGGCAGGGGTTGGGTAGGGCCAGGGCCAGGGGGCTGGGTGGGGGGCAGCGGGAGGGGCAGGGGTTGGGTAGGGCCAGGGCCAGGGGCTGGGTGGGGGCAGCGGGAGGGGCAGGGGTTGGGTAGGGCCAGGGCCAGGGGCTGGGTGGGGGCAGCGGGAGGGGCAGGGGTTGGGTAGGGCCAGGGGCTGGGTGGGGGCAGCGGGAGGGGCAGGGGCTGGGTGGGGGCTGGGGCAGGGCCAGGACCAGGGGCTGGGTGGGGGCAGCGGGAGGGGCCGGGGCAGGGGATGGGTGGGGGCAGTGTCTCCCCGGCCCCCTCTCGCTGCGGTGCAGGCTGCAGCCCCCGCACGCCCATGCCCGGCGGGTGTCATGTCACTGTACAGAGCCAGTGGGCTCGGCGTGGGACTGTCTGGCTTCAGGCAGCCCCTCGGGTCCGGGCTTTCAGAAGCTCCTTGGGCTGCTCTGAACCGGCCGGTTCCCAGTAACTACTCTGAGGCAGCGTTGCCTTGTGGGATCGGCTTGCCGGGATGCTGCAGGGGTACAGATAAGTAACGTAGCCTGTGGGTTAAGCCACTGCAGTAGCGTGCTGTCTGTGTGGCTATGTGCTGACTCTGACTTCCTGACTGTCTGTACCCAGGGGATGGTTCCGGCCGCCCCCCAGAAATGCATGGAGGATGCCATCTCGCTCTACACAATGACCTCCTGCGCCCTGTGTGACTTTGCATGCACTATATGTGTAAGGTTGCGCTGTGCACACATGCATAAAATTGCAGCCTTCCTAACAATTGCACACCACACTACGGAGAGCCCGGCTGGACTTTAGGTCTTGATCAGGGGTTCTCAAACTTCACTGCACCGTGACTCCCTTTTGACAACAAATATTACTATATGATCCCAAAGTGGGGACTGAAGCTTGAGACCACCCAAGCCCTACTGCCCTATGTGGGTTTGGGGAGGGGGCCTACAGCCAAAGGACATCAACCCTGAGCAGGGGGACCTGTAATGTGAGCCCTGCTGCCCAGGGATGAAGCTGAAGCCTGAGAACCATGGGCTTCAGCTTTGGCCCCAGACAGTGGGGCTCAGGCTTTGACTTCAGCCCCAGGCCCCAGCAAGCCTAATGCCAGCCCTGGCAACCCCATGGAAACAGGGTTGTGACCCACTTTGGGGTCCCGACCTACAATTTGAGAACTGCAGGTCTAGACCAGTCGTTTTCAAACTTTTTTTCCGGCGACCCAGTTGAAGAAAATTGTTGATGCCTGTGATCCAACGGAGCTGGAGATGAGGGGTTTAGGCTGTGAGAGGGGCTCAGGGCTGGGGCAGAGGATTGGGGTGCAGGAGGGGGTCAGGGTTTTGGGCTGGGGGTGCAGGCTCTGGGGTGGGGCTGGGGATGAGGGGTTTGGGGTGCAGGGGGCGGATCAGGGCTGGGGCAGGGGATTGGGGCACGGGGTGTGTGCAGAGGCAAGCTTCCCACCTGTCCTAGATCCGTGGACCATGATGTGCCTGAAGTGGCCAGCAGCAGGTCTGGCTCCGCATGGCTCTCTGCTGCAGGCAGTGCCTCAGCTCCTGGCCAATGGGAGTACAGAGTCAGGATGGGGGCAGCGCGCAGAGCCTCGTGGCCCCCCGCCTAGAAGCCAGACCTGCTGGCTGCTTCCGGGGTGCTTCCGGGGTGTTGGAACAGGTACACACACGGCTGCCTTGCTGGGCAGCACCGCCGACAGGACTTTTAATGTCACAGTTGGCAGTGCTGGCCAGAGCGACCCAGTGCTGGGTCGCAACCGGAACTTTGAAAAACGCTGATCTAGAGGCTTGCCAGTGCCCTCCACAATTCAGGAACTGCAGATACACCAGTGACCAAATGAAACCCAGGAGGATGAGGCATTGCAGAGAAGCTGATGAGCAATGAGAGCTTGGCCAGGAAAGGCCCTTTGAGCTCAGCAGCCTGGGGCTAGGGGCACAGAGAGGGCCTACTACTGGGAATCTCTGGGAGCTGGTGAGCATGGCTGTGCGAACTGCAATTTGATTCAGTCACTTCTTCCGGCTTGTGATCTGGCTGCAAATCCAGTTCATCCCATCCTATTAAAAACAAGAGACTCGTGTGAGCACTGGCCCCTCTCAGCGTCCCCTGGCTTGATTCCTTGTGGGAGTCTCTTTGCCACATCACTGGGCCCTAGGCTTCTTCGCTGACCTCCCCAACCCTGGGATTTCCTCTGCCCCTCTGGCCCTCACCCCAATACCTGGACTCCTTCCCCAGACAGGGCTGAGCAGGCCTGGATTTGCCATTGGCGGTCCCGGTACGTAGGTAGGTTCAGTCCCTCTGCGATCTCTGCAGCTGGTGCTGCACTTGCCAGATCCTGCTTGTTGGCAAACACCAGCAAAGGGACCCCCGTGAGACTCTCGTCCTCAATCAGCTCCGCCAGCTCCTGCCGAGAGACAGAGCGAGCCATCGGCCCTGAGCGCAGACAGCTGCCGGGCTCTGCTGCCCAAGCCTCATTCTAGGGGCTTGCACCCACCTTGTCACACATGTGGGATCTGGATAATGAGTTGTGGGGACATCCCTCACCAAGTGTCACTGAGCTGGCACTTTCTCTGCAAGGATCCCAGGGACACTGTCAACCCAGCAGGATTCTGGGGGCCAGAGGCCAAACCCCTAAGGGCAGGGAGTTTCACCCTCCCTGAGGCTGACTGGAATTGGCACAGCCCTTCCTGACATCAGTCCCCTTCCAAAGGGAAAGCCCAGCATGTGTAACCGGTGGGTGTGACGAAGTGGGACTGTTCTTAATGTTTCCTCTGAATAGTGTGGGGGTGCCTCAGTTTCCCCTAGGCAGTTCTTAAGTATCTAGGGGGTGGGGTAAGGGTGTATGATCATTGCAGAGCCCTAGAGGGCAGGTGTGTGTAGGGGTCTTTGGCCACAGAGAATGGCTGACACCCTGTTTCCTGGCCACTGATGGCCTGGGCCCTTCCCCCCTGCAAGGTAAGAGCTAAAGGGTTGGAGAACAAAGGAATCCTGTGCCCTCCTGGCCCGGGAAAGGAACAAAGCCCAGAGGAGGAGGGGCTGGAGGGAGTTTTCAGTTTGGGGCTGGCTGGGACATGGAGTGAAGTGCAGACGTGGTTGTCTGGCTCACTGACCCCAAAATGGACCCAACTGAGGGGTCCCGTTCTCTGCACCTGCAAGCTCTGTTTTAGACCATGTTTCTGTCATCTAATAAACCTCTGTTTTACTGGCTGGCTGAGAGTCACGTCTGACTGCGAAGTTGGGGTGCAGGACCCTCTGGCTTCCCCAGGAGCCCTGCCTGAGTGGACTCGCTGTGGGAAGCGCACGGAGGGGCAAAGGATGCTGAATGCTCCGAGGTCAGACCCAGGAAGGTGGAAGCTGTGTGAGCTTTGTGTCCTGAAGACAGGCTGCTCACAGAAAGGAGACTGCCCCAGAGTCCTGACTGGCTTCGCAGGGAGCATTTCCACAGCATCGCCTGGGGATTCCATGACAGTGGGTAGCCTTGACCCTGGTCTCGGACTATGGCCTGGGATGTGGGTTAAGGTCCTGGCTCTGTCCTGGACTCTGTGACCTCAGGTCCCATCAGTATCATGGGGCTCATGAGCTGGGGAGGAAACATTCCTCACCACGGAGCCCCTTTGCTGCCTGCCATGCCTTCCTTCAACTCAGGATACAACTGGCTGCCAGGGAACTACATTTCCCAGCAAAAATAACAAGGAATACTTGTGGCACCTTAGAGACTTGACAAATAAATTTGTGAATCTCTAAGGTGCCACAAGTACTCCTCATTCTTTTTGCTGATACAGACTAACACGGCTACCACTCAGATACATTTTCCAGCAATCCCTCTGTGGGGGATTGGGGGAGGTTCAGCAGGCATGGGGGTCCAGCCCAGCTTATTCTCAGAAATGAGTAGTGAACAACCCTGGTTCTCTCTGCACCCCATAGATATACCTCCCTCTCCCAGTGATAAGCTGCCAAAATCTGAAGAACCGGTTCCTTCAGTCGCTCTGGGTCTTTTCGGCGGCGGGTCTTTCACTCACTCCAGGTCTTCGGCGGCACTGGAGTACCTGCCGCCGAAGACCTGGAGCAAGTAAGGGCCTGCTGCCGAAGTGCTGCTGAAGACCTGGAGCGCCGCCAGGTGAGTGAAAATTAAATAGGGATTCTCAGCCAGGGGATCCTCCCCAGCCAGGAGCTCAGGCAGGCTGGACAGGACAGTCCTGCAGGCTGGATGTGGCCCATGGGCCGGAGTTTGGCCACCCCTTTAACAACCAGTTCTAAACCGGCTTCAAAATTTAACAACTGGTTGTGCGAACCGGCTCCAGCTCGCCACTGCCCTCTCCCCAGAAAAGTCTTAAATGGCCAGTACACACTGTTATACTGGGCAAAGCAGCTGCTCCAGCACATGGCTACGGCTTGGTCCCAAAGACCCCCAGAAGCATGCACACCTGTGACCTGCCCCAGCACATGCACTGTCAAGAGAGCAATCTGCCCACAAGTCAGTGTATTTTCAGGGAGGCCCCTGAAATTTGATCGGGGGCACAGCCACATCGTACCTGCCCGGTCTCCTCAAAGCGTTTCTTGTCAGCGCTGTCAATGACGTAAATCTGCCACAGGAACAAAAGGGAAAGTCATCTGTTCACTTCTTGCTCCCCTGGCACCCTGCCAGTCCCACCTTTATGGGCACCGTGTCCCCCAGGCACCTCAGGTGGGCGCCCCCCAGTTCTCCCTTTGCAGGTGGGGCAACGGCTCTTGCTGTGGAACCCCAGTATTAGACCCCAGCCGGTCCAGCATCCAACACTGCCTTGTGAATGGGGCCGTGGGGCTCGCTCACCCCTTGGGCCAGCCCTGCCTACCTGGGGGCTGGGCCCCATGCTCACCAGTATGTCTGTGTGGCCCAGGTACTTCTTCCAGTAGGGGCGGATGGCACGCTGCCCACCGATGTCCCAGACGGTCAGCCTGAAGCCATGCGAGTGCACACTTTTTATGTTGAACCCCTGCACAGGGAAGCAAACCAGGCTGTAAGTCCAGTCAGGGAAGGAGAGCCCACCTCATCCACTGTGCGCTGGGTCCGGGGTTCTGCACCTACCTGCGTGGGGGTGATGGTGCTGACCTCCTCCGATGCCAAGCACTTCAGCAGTGTGGTTTTTCCGGCATTGTCCAGCCCCAGCAGGACGATCCGCAGTTCCTGCTCCACAGAGCCCTTGAGCTTTTGGATGACAGCGAGCAGCCCCTGCAAGGACAAGGGGACCCTGTGTGGATGGGGCTGCATCCCAGAGCCCCCCAGGTATGCCTCGGGTGCTGCAGAATCCTTGGCTGGGTGGGTCTGAGCTGGTTCAGAAGACATGCTGGGGGTGCAGTCAGGGAGTTGACTGATATCAGACAACCAAGAGCCATTGTTTCTGGGATCTATCACACGTGATGACATAGAACCTGTCTGGAGAGTGAAACTGAATATTTATGGCAAGACAATTGGACTTGAAAATTGACTGAAGAGCTGACATCCGCCATCTCAGAAGTGATTTATGATCACCTTCAACCCCTCTCAGAGCTGAAGTCACCCAACCCACTCTGACTAGCCCTGGAGGTACTGTGAGCTGTGTGGGCCAGTTCACCACAGAAATAGCTTTCAAAGACACAAGCTTGAGCACTCAGTGTGTATGTGATGAAAGGACCACAGACCAACAGCCTCCTCAGCCGCAGCATGGCAGCCAGGATGGCCTAGTGAGAAAGGTGGAAGAACTTGATGGGATATTTCATGATATTGGACTTTTGAAAGGAGATCCAGTACAGATAATCCTAAAACACAATGCTGCACCATAGAGCATACATACCCCTCTCAGGATTCCAATCCACTTACTTCATAGAGTGGAAACTGAGTTAAACAGAATTAAATGGATTGGCATAACCGAGAAAAATCTCTGAGCCAACAGCACGGTGTGCCCCAATGGTACTGGCTATAAAGAAAAATAGGAAAATACGAATCGGTGTGGATCTTAAGACTTGGTGAAGCAGTTGTAAGGGAAAAAAATATGTCCTCCCAGCACTGGCTGATTTCCTCCCCAAAGTGAAAGGAAGTACAGGATTCTCCAAGCTGGGTGCCTCAAGGAGACTCTGGCAAATTCCAGTAGCCAAAGAAAGTGTTAAACTGACTACATTTATCACACCCTTTGGTAGATTTTGCTTTCCAATATTACCTTTGGGATTACCAGTGTGCCTGAAATTTTCCAAAGAAAGATGGCAGAACTGTTAATGAACACAAATGGAGTTGTCATTTGTATAGACAATATTCTGATATATGGGTCTTTGAGGGAAGAACACACCAAAACTGTTGAGGTCCCAAGGCTAATCATTTAGTCTGGACTAAAGCTAAACAAGGAGAAGTTTGTTTTCTGACTACCCCAAACTGAGACAATAAACAAAGATGGAATCAGTCCTAGACCTGAGAAAGAAAAGTAATTTGAGAATTGAATGTACCAGAACTGAGACGCCTGCTGGTGCTGGTGAATTACCTTGTTTGGTACCCACACGACCTTTCTGCAGTGACAAAACCACTGAATAAACTATTGAAGTCCAACACATCTTGGCTATTGGGCCAAATCAAGAAATTGTCTTCAAAGGGTAAAATAAATTACCTCAATAGCTCTAGCTCTCAAGTTCTATGGGAATAAACCCACAATGGGGACCAGTGGAAACACAAGGAGCTCTGGCCTAGGTGGTGAATTGTTGCAAACAACGTGGCTCTGAGTAGAAGTCAGCTGCATTTTGCCCTTGCACATTCACAGAAGTGGAAAAATGATCGGCACAGATTGAAAAGGAGTGGCTGGCAAGCATGTGAGAACTTTACAGAGATCTATGTGGATTGTATTCTCTTACATTGATAACAGACCATAAACCACTTGTAGCCCTCTGTGATGGGGTGACTGCCCCACACTGGCCCAAAAGGGGTTAATAGAGCCCTAGGGAGTCTACGCAGGAGGCAGCCAATTATAGAGGGGCTGTGAGGAGCAGCCAATCAGGGCCTGGCAGGCCCATAGAAGAAGAGCTGCAGGGCAGAGCAGCTTCCATAGCTGCCTGGAGCTTGAGGAGGGAAGGTCAGGCCAGGCTCCTAGCAGAGGAAGGAGAGCCAGGACCCTGGACAGAGCAGTGCTACTAGCAGTGACCAGGGGGAGCTAAAAACAGCTCTGGGTTGGCTGTGGGAATTTGCAGGCTGATGCCCTGAGGGAAGGGCAAAGAGGGTGCTGGGGGCCATGGGGAAATGGCCCAGGGAAAGGTACTGAGAGGTTGAGGGGATGCAGCACGTGGCTGCCATTTACAGGGTCCCTGGGCTGGGACTCAGAATAGTAGGTGGGCCCAGGTCCCCCCCCGCTGATTGCCACTGAAGAAGTGGCCAGAAAATTGTCTGTGATAGCCACTGAGGGAAGTGGCTGGACGTCAGCAGACTGCAGGCCCCCAGAAGCGGGGAGATCAGAGCACGACACGTCCAGAGAGCTGGGTCACGAAGAAGGTGCACGCTCCTGGGAGTGACATGAGTCCTGGGGCGGGAGTGACAGCAGTGAGACACCACCAGAAAAGGATCCACCGGCTAGCAGAGCTAATCCCCAGGACAGCCAGCAGGAGGCGCTGCAGTCGTGAGTGAACTCTGTCTTACCCTCCTCAACGGAAAAGACCTGGATCAAGCACTGCGGAGATGCCAGCATCTCTTGCTAAGGTTAATACAATGTAACCCGATTGCGGAGTATGTTCCTGGGAAAAATCGGTTGGTTGCAGACACTCTGTGAGAGAGCCAGCATTGCATGAACCACCCGAGCTCACAGATGCTGTAAAGGCCTATGTGGATGCTGTGCGCACACATAGACCAGCGTCACAAAAGAGGCTAGACCTGCTACAGAAAACCAACCTCAGCAGACATGCAACTTCAGGCAGCTCTACGCTCCCTTAGGACCGGCTGGCCCAAGTATCTAAAGGACATTACAAGACACTACTTTGTGGTACATGGTGTGACACAGCAGGGAGGGGGGAGTGTTGACCTGGGAACGTGGCTGGGGATTTTTATAGGGGATGGGAGACCTGAGAGCCTGTAACATGAGCCAGGAGGGGGGTTGGGGCCAGGTGACACCTTTGCCTGGAAAACTGGACAAAGGCTGGAGGAGGAGCTGCGGGGAGGCTGGTTGGGACACTAGGAGGGTTTTCTTTCAGTTTGGAGTGGGCTAGGGAAGAGGGGAGAGCCTAGAGCATGGGGACTAAGCTCTCTATCCCCCAGAAGGACCGGACTAAGGGGTCCCATTCATGCCTACAAGCTCTGGGTTGGATTGTATTCCTGTCATCTCTAATAAACCTTCTGTTCTACTGGCTGGCTGAGAGATCACAGTGAATGTGAATCGCAGAGGAAGCGGGGATACAGGACCCTGACTCCCCCACACTTCTTAACAACTGGTGGTAGCGGTGGGATGTACTGCACCTCATGGATGGCGCTTCCTGCAGTACATGACTGGGGAGCAGTAAAATGAAAAGGGATTGATGGGGACCAGGCATGCTGAAGATTCAGAGAGGAGCAGTTTCGGGGGGTGGAAGAGCTACGCTTAACCCCTGGGAGTGTGTGACCAGCGAGGACTGTCGCAATAACGGTGTCCCCCTGGGAACTGCGGCAAGCAGTCTCGGGGGCGGAGGAGTCTGCGGCTTGACCCGGGGAGAGAGGTGGTGACCTGGAGAAGGGCTGGGACACTAGGGGTGAGAGCACACAGGCCTGCGAGTGGCCAGCAGGAAGATGTATGCTAAATGCCTTAAGAGCGATTTGGTGGAGCTGAGCAGGCAGAGGGGGCTGCACACTGGGAGGCTCACCAAAGAGCAGCTGATTGCCCAGCTGGAAGAAAAGGATCACTTGGATGCACCGATCCCTGTCTTTGAGGGAAGCAGCCCAGCAGAGGCAGTGTAGGTCCCGGTGCCTGACCCGGCTGGGAGGGGTCAGACGGCTGCCGAGAGCATCCCGAGACTCAATGTGCCTATGCCTAGGGTAGGAGCTGAGAGGAGCCCAGTGAATACCGAGGGCACCCTGACCCCAGCAGCCAGCTGGGGATCCTCCCGATGGAGCTCCCCATCCCTGGAGCTGAGGCGGCTGGAATGGGAGGGGGAGATGAGACTGAGAGAGTTGGAAGATCAAGAGAAGGAGCGAACAGGACCGCGAAAGGCAGCATCAGCATGAGCTGAAGGAGCAAGCAGAACAGGAAAAGCAGCGGCAGCATAAGCTGGAGCTGGCCAGGCTGAGGATCAGCAAGCCTCCGGCTGCAGTGAGTGAGGGTGGACCCAAGACGGCACTGAGCTTTGATAAGGGCCTCCTGGCCCAACATAAGGAAGGGGAGGACATAGATGACTTCCTGAATGCCTTTGAGAACGCCTGCGAGCTGCACAGGGTTGACCCTGCAGTCAGGCTCCAGTTTCTCACCCCCTTACTGGACCCCAAAGGCATGGAGGTGTACAGCCGAATGACAGGGGTGGAGGTAGGGGACTACAAACTATTCAAAAAAGCCCTGCTATGTGAGTTTGACTCCCAAGATGAACTGGAGAAGGTTCTGGAGTCAGTGTAAAACCCCTGAGGGCACATATCTACAATTGACCCGCCAGATGCAGGGATATGCCCGCAAGTGGGCGGATGGGGCCCAAACTAAGGAGGACCTGCTCGACCTAATTGTACTGGAGCAACTGTATGAACAGTGCCCATCTGACCTGAGGCTATGGTTGGTGGACAAAAAGCCAGAGAACCCGCAATATGCAGGGCAGCTGGCCGATGAGTTTGTGAACAGTCAGTCAGGGAGTGGCAGGGAGGAACCCCAAATGAACAAGCCCACCATGATGCAGAGAGAGAGTCACCATAGGACCTCCCAAAGGGGAAATATGGAGAACCCCCTCCCAAGGGGAACATCTGGCATCAGGTCCAACCGATCCGCTTGAGGGGACCAACGGGACGTGAGCTGCTATCACTGTGGCCGGAGAGGCCACGTACGGACCCAGTGCCCCAAGCTCAGGGACAGACTGAGCAGACTGAACCCACCCAGGGTTAACTGGGTAGGGACCCAGCCGGACGAGGGCCAGACTGCTCATGCAAGGGGGGCTGGCAGCTGTCCAACTGCTCAGGAAGGAGGAAGACCAGCTCCTCTGGGGGGCTGGATGCTCCAGATTCTAAATTCTCACTTTACAGGGTGGGTGCGGGGCTGTCCCTGCGAAGTGAGTGCCTTGTTCCCCTGGAGGTGGATGGGAGGAAGGTCAAGGGATACGGGCGCGGAGGTGATGGTGGCCCGGCCCGAGGTGGTGGCCCCACATCGGGTGGTGCCCAACACCTACCTGACCCTGATGGGGGTGGGCAGGACCCCATTCAAGGTGCCTGTGGTGAGGGTACATCTTAAATGGGGGGCCAAGAAGGGCCCCAAGGATGTGGGGGTGCACCACCATTTGCCTACTGAGGTGTTGATGGAGGGGGGGGACCGAGAGGACTGGCCCAGCAACCCCCAGGGTGCCCTGGTCATGACCTGTAGCCAGAACTGGCGAGGGGCACTGCACCCTGACCTTGGGGAGGGTACCTTGCCAGAGGCGCAAGACCCTGCCCTGGAGGGGAGGGAGCGCTGAGGGACATGGCCCGCTCCCCAAACCAAAGAGCAGGTACAAGCCTTTATTGGGATGGTGGGGTACTCTCGAAGATTTGATGGGGGCGGCTATGGTGCTAAAGTGGGGCACAAATCTTTGATAGTACCCCGCCATCCCAATAAAGGCTTGTACCTACTTTTTGGTTTGGGGAGCGGGCCAGTCCTGGATCACCTCCATCTTAGCTGGTTCTGGTTTTAGGCAGCTGCTCCCCACCTGATGGCCCAGCTAAGACACTTCAGCCATCCCCACCTTGCACTTCTCTGCTTTTACAGTCAGCCAGGCCCCCTGGAGTCAGTCCAGCACTTGTCTAACCTGGGACACATGATCCTCCCAGGTCTGGCTAAAGACACAGATGTCATCAATGTACACCACGGCAAAACTCTCCATCCCCCTCAGTAGCTGATCCACCAAGCGCTGGAAGGTGGCTGGCGCTCCCTTGAGGCCAAAAGGCAGGGTCAGGAACTCAGAGCCCCAGAGGCTCTGGTCAGGTGCTGAAGGAGGCTCTGGTCAGGGGCCCGGTTCTGGCAAACCCAGACTTTGACAAGCCCTTTATGGTGTTCACCGATGCCTCAGACATGGGGCTGGGGGCAGTGTTAATGTAGGAGGATGAAAAGGGGGAGAGACACCCATCGTGTACCTGAGCAAGAAGTTGCTACCCGGAGAGCAGAACTACGCAGCCATCGAGACGGAGTGCCTGGCCATGGTATGGGCCCTTAAGAAACTAGAGCCATATCTCTTCGGGCGACACTTCACCGTCTACACCGACCACTCTCCCCTGATCTGGCTGCACCAGATGAAAGGAGCCAACGCCAAACTCCTGAGGTGGAGCCTGCTCCTGCAGGATTATGACATGGACGTGGTCCACATGAAGGGAAGTGCCAACCTGATAGTGGATGCATTGTCCCGGAGAGGGGGCCCTGAACTTCTCCAGGTCACTGGTCACAGTGACCCCACTCAGTTCAGTCTCGAAGGGGGGAGAGATGTGATGCAGCAGGGAACGGGGAGTGTTGACCTGGGAATGTGGCAGGGGAGTTTCACTGGGGATGGGAGACCTGAGAGCCTGGAACCTGAGCCAGGAGGGGGTTAGGGCCAGGTGACACCTTTGCCCGGGAAACTGAACAAAGGCTGGAGGAGGAGCTGGGGGGATTCTGGGTGAGACGCTGAAGGGTTTTTCTTTCAGTTTGGAATGGGTTAGGGAAGAGGACCCAGAGCGGGGGTCTAATCTCCCTACCCCACAGAAGGATCTGACTAAGGGGTCCTGTTTGTGCCTGCAAGCTCTGGGTTGGACTGTGTTCCTGTTGTCTCTAATAAACTTGCTGTTCTACTGGCTGGCTGAGAGTCACGGTGAATGTGAATTGCAGGAAACAAGGGTACAGGGCCCTGACTCCCCCACGCTTCGTAACACATAGACAGTTAAAGTGAGTCAAATGGACTCATGGTTAAAAGCAACTGCACTGTAATTCCAACAAAAGGGGAGGAGAAATCCTAAGCCTCACCCAGGAAGGACAGAAAGGACTAACTAAATGCCATGAACGGGCCATCCAGTCGGTGTCGGTGCCAGGTATCAGCAAGGGCATAAAGAATAGAGTAGAGCATGTGAACACTGCCGAACACAACACGAAGAATCTTCAACAACGCCCCTGCCAGACAGATCTTGGAAGAGACTAGCTGCAGATTTATGCCAGTTCAGAGGACAGCATTATCTTATTGTCATTGACAGTTTTTCCAGGTGTACAGAAATAACATACTTGAAAGACATAACATGTTGCAGTGTTATCGAGAAACTGAAGTGCACTTTTGCTCATTTCCATACTCCAGAGCATCTAGTGATGGACGACAGACCCTATCTGACTGCTGCAGAATTTCAGTCATTCTGTAGAAAACACAACTTTGCTCTCATTCCTAGCAGCCCACATTACTCACAAGCAAATGGAGAGGCTGAGAGAGCTGAACAGGCAGCCAAGAAAATCCCGCAGGAGGAAGATCCATTCCTTGCTCTTCTGAGGTACAGATCAACACCAATAGCAGCTCCTGGAGATAGCCCCACACAACTCCTGATGGGAAGACAACTCAGAGCGACAGGTTCCTTTCCAAAGTTGGAACAATCTCCAGCATGGCCATACATGAAGAGAGCAGCCCAACTGGATCAAAAGGCTAAAGAGCTTATGAACAGCTTTGCAACAGACATCACTCAGAGAACTGCCGGGTCTAGCACCTGGGGACCATGTTCGTGGCAAACTTGATGAAGGAAAAAAACCTGACAACTCCAGCTCCTGTAAAGAAAAAGAATTCATCGCCCAGACCACATGTGATCCAGACTGACTGGGGAGAGTTCAACAGAAACCATCAACATCTACAGTTTGTTCCTTGGAAAGAGCCATCAATGGAGCAAACTCTACTAATGGTGGGCGCAGAACAAGAAGACTCAGAGATTCCAAACCTGCTACAGCCAGTCGGTGAAACTAACGGATAGGCAGAGGACCAAGTTGTTACACATTCAGGTCACGTAATTAGAAAGCCAGTATGCCACCTGGATACTTAATAGAGTGATCCATACAGCACTTCAGAGACAGCGTGCCACTATAAATCCTGGACACGGTAGAAATGTAGCACTGAAAGGGGGAGGGTACTGTCCCTTACTGTTCAGCTGTAAGGCACCTTTCTCAAGCCGCCCTCGGGCAGACGGGGCGGCACGTTAGAGGGTCTCATGAGTAGCACAGCGGCTGTGTTGTGCTAAGAGTGACGCTCTGGAGCCAGTCCATAGCTGGCACAGAAGCGTGGCAGTAATGGAGGCGGGGAGGCTTGTAGGGAATCGTGGAGAGAATTGGGGCTGGCCCCAGAACCTCATGGGACCAAGCCAAGGGCTGCTGCCCCCATCCCTTGGGACTGCTGCTCGGCAGGTTTTTCATCTGCAATTCAAGCCAGGCCCCATGAGAGCCCTGGGCTAATCCCAGCCTGATTCAGGCCCCCAGCCACCTGGCCCCATCCCAGCTCTCAGCCTCTGGCCCCATGGTGTATTTTGACTCCATCCTGGTGCCCCAGGGCCATCCCAGTTCCTGGCCTCCCACCACTTTGCTGATCCCAGCCCTGCCCCCCTTGCTGACTGTGAGCCAGGCTCTGCCCCCTTTTGCCTAGGCCCTGCCCTCCAGCTGCTGCTTCGCTCTGGAGAGATTAAATTGGTGCAGCTTTCCAGTGCCCCCCATCCCACACACACTGACAGGTCCCGCTCTTGGGAGTACCAGGCACCGGCTCTGTCATCTCAGCGGGGAGGGTTTGGGGTTCCCAGGTCCCAATGCTGGAACAGTCACACTGAGCACCCACCCTCCTGTGAGGCAGCCCCACAGTGACCTACCTGGGAGCCGGCCCCACTTACCTTCTGTACTTCACCCATGGTCTAGGAGACTCTACATCCTCTGTAGGGTGCAGGGCGCTGGGTGCTTCTCTGGGCTCGGAGCCAGGTCCCGTCCCGCGGCTGCGTGCCTGACACACGTCCCTTCGCCAGCACGGTCAAGAGGATTAAAGCTCCTGAATTAGCTGCTGTTCCTCCATTTACCCACAGCATTAAATACCTCCCTAGGAAAATCCCCCAGCCAGCTGTCGCCCAGCCTGCCAGCCGCTCCCACCGGCCCAGCCCTGAGCCACAGGGGAAGGAGAACAGCCTGGGGCAAAGCCCCTTTCCCACCCTTGCAGGGTCCGTGAGGCTCAGAGCCCCCCGGTGATACCACTGTGTTCCAGTTGAGGGGAGGAGCCAGCCCAGACCCACGGCAGGTGAACTCCCCCCAGCATCAAGGGGCCTTGGCTGCCCGGACCAGCCTTCCAGGCAGGTCACCCAAGCCCATCTGCCACGCCCTATGGGACAGAGGTGAGAGCAGCAGCCCCCAGGCAGGGCCCATGCCAGCAGGGAGCAGGTGCACTGGGTACGGCGCCAGAGCCCTGGAAGGCAGTGGGGCTGGAGGACATGCTGGAGGTGTGCACAGGTGCTACACAGCAGAACGCAGTGACAGTCCCGGTGAAGTGGTGCAGCCTCTGGACGAGCTGTCCATCCTGGGCCCAGACTGAGCTGGTCAGCAGACTGCGAGAGAAGCCAGGAGGTTATGGTCCTGAGCACCCACGCCCTGCTGGCCGGGGTGTCGGCGGAGCGACGGGGGCGAGGGCCCAGCCCTGCTGCCCAGGGGAGCAACAGGGGCGAGGGGGACGCGGTACTTGCTGTGAGGGGCTCGGACGCTGCGGTGAGGGGCTCTGACATTGCCGTACCTTAGAGGGATCTGGTCTTTCCAGGTTCTCATCACTTGAGTTGACCCTATGCCCGTCAGCAGGATGTTCCCGTGAGCCCCGTGGCTTTGTCCTGCGTTTGTGGCTCTCCTTTCCTCGATTGCAGGGGCCTCGGCCAGGGCCAGCTGCCACCTCTGAGCGCCCAGGCCCTGTCTGCTGCGGGAGCGGCGGTGCTGGGGTTCAGAGCTGGGCCACGGGGCGTGCGGCCCTGGGGCGGGGGGCTGGCCTCGCGGGGGGGGGGGGGCTGTGCTACAGGGAGGGAGGCTCCTCTGCAAACCCCAGTTCTAGCTGTGGTTTGGTTTCCATAGTGACACTTCCTGCGGTAGCAAAAAGAGGTAGTGAGCAGCCCTGTGATCCTGGCAGTGAGCGTGCCGTGCCGCTCCTCCCGCCGGGGACGCCCGCAGCCTGCTGGCCTGCGCGGGGCCTGCCCGCCGAGCCCCATGCTCCCTGCCTGCACAGCCCCCCACTGAGGCATGCCTGGGAAGGCAAAGCACCTGGGTGTTCAAAGCAGCCACATGGTGAGTGCCCGGCCTGCTGGGGGCGCGTGGGCAGGAACGGAGTTCAGCTGCTCTGGAGGTGCGACCGAGCCACACCCAGCCTCTGTGGTCCTTGGCTCACCCTGGCCGGCAAGACTCCCCCAGGGACAAGGGGGGCTGCACCCCCCCACCAGCGGATCTGCTCCTGGCTGGAGGCTGCCGGTCACTAGGAGGCCCCAGCCCCAGGGTTCTGCCCCCACCCTGGGCCACTCTGCTCCAGAGAGCGGGAACGGTGAGCAGGGACCCTGCTCCTTGGGGAGATGCTGTCTTGGGCTCCCCTGCCCCAAGGACGGCTCGGTGCAGCCCATCCTCCCTCCCCTACATTGCTCTGCCTGCCTTCAGAAGGCACTGAGCTATGGGCCCAGAGACAGTGAGGTCCTCAGCCTGCCCATGGGTGGCTGGGGTGGCTGCTGGGACCTGTGGGGTCTGTGACAGGTGTTGGCAGCCTTCCAGAGACACCAGCAGCTCAGAGCCACCCGCTCCGGGCAGAAGCAGCATTGTCAGTCTGAGCCGGGTCCCGACCAGCCTGTTGCACAATTCGGCATGCTGGGTAGGGACTAGGCCAGGAAGGCTGGGGCCATGGGGCTGCAGCCCCGGTGGGATTCCCTGGCAACACCGGGTGTGTGCAGAACCCAGGGCTGAAATAGTGGAGGGGTGGGAGGAGTCTGTGGGTTGGGATTGAGGGGCATTAGCACAGCTGGGGGGGCATGGAATAATAGGGGTGGGGGTGGCTGCAGGTTGCGATCATGGTGCACCAGCAGAGTCTGCGGTTGGGAGTCCGGGGCAGAGGGAGCAGGCGGGCAGGGCAGAGCTGGGGTGGGGAGTCTGGGGTGGGGATAGCAGGTGGGCAGGAGAGAGCTGGGTGGGGGGCGGGGGTAGCAGGCGGGTGGGGCAGAGTCTGGGGTGGGGGTAGCAGGCGTTTAGGGCAGAGCTGGGGTGGGGAGTCTGGGGCGGGGGTAGCAGGCAAGTGGGGCAGAGCTGGGTGGGGAGTCTGGGGGTGGGGGTAGCAGGCGGGCACGGTAGAGCTGGGTGGGGAGTTGGGCGGGGGTAGCAGGTGGGTGGGGCAGAGCTGTGGTGGGGAGTCTGGGGTGGGGATAGCAGGTGGGCAGGAGAGAGCTGGGCTGGGGTAGCAGGCGGGCGGGGCAGATCTGGGGTGGGGAGTCTGGGGTGGGGGTAGCATGCGGGTGGGGCAGAGTCTGGGGTTGGGAGTCTGGGGCGGGGGTAGCAGGCGTTTAGGGCAGAGCTGGGGCGGGGAGTCTGGGGCGGGGGTAGCAGGCAAGTGGGGCAGAGCTGGGTGGGGAGTCTGGGCGGGGGTAGCAGGCGGGCGGGGTAGAGCTGGGTGGGGAGTCTGGGCGGGGGTAGCAGGCGGGCGGGGTAGAGCTGTGGTGGGAAGTCTGGGGCAGGGGTAGCAGGCGGGCAGGGCAGAGCTGGGGGTCCAATGTCTAACCGGTTTCAGAGTGGCAGCCGTCTTAGTCTGTATCAGCAAAAAGAACGAGGAGTCCTTGTGGCACCTTAGAGAGAAACAAATTTATTTGAGCATAAGCTTTCGTGGCCTAAAACTCACTTCATCGGATGCAGTGGAAAATACAGTGGGGAGATTTATATACATAGAGAACATGAAACAATGGGTGTTGCCATGCCAACTATAACGAGACTAATCAATTAAGGTGAGCTATCATCAGCAGGAGGGAAAAAAATAACCTTTTGTAGTGATAATCGTAATGGCCCATTTCCAACAGTTGACCAGAAGGTGAGAGTAACAGTAGGGGAAAAATTATCAAGGGGAAGTAGTTGTACTTTGTGTAATGACCCAGTCTTTATTCAAGCCTAAGTTATTTGTATCCAGTTTGCAAATTAATTCCAATTCAGCAGTCTCTCGTTGGAGTCTGTTTCTGAAGTTTTTTTTGTTGTAATATTGCGACTTTTAGGTCTGTCATCGAGTCACCAAAGAGACTGAAGTGTTCTCCGACTGGTTTTTGAATGTTATAATTCTTGACGTCTGATTTGTGTCCATTCTTTTACGTAGTGACTGTCTGGTGTGGCCAATGTACATGGCAGAAGGGCATTGCTGGCACATATCACATTGGTAGATGTGCAGGTGAACAAGCCCCTGATGATGTGGCTGATGTGATTAGGTCCTATGATGGTGTCCCTAGAATAGATATGTGGACAGAGTTGGCAATGGCTTTGTTGCAAGGATAGGTTCCTGGGTTAGTGTTTTTGTTGTGTGGTGTGTGATTGCTGGTGAGTATTTGCTTCAGGTTGGGGGGCTGTCTGTAAGCAAGGACTGGCCTGTCTCCCAAGATCTGTGACCTAATCATAGGACCTAATCACCCCATCACAGGCAGCCCCCCATGCTGTGCAAAGCCCTTCTCCTCAGCACCCAGGAGGGGAGCAGTTCTCTGTTGCTGCTGGGACGTGAGCCCGGCTTTAAAAGGGGTGCCTGGCAGCCGTTTCCCCAGAGCTAGGAGCCCGGGGTGCCCAGGGGCTGGCAGGGCTGTGGCTGGGCCTGGCCTGCTGGGGGCGGCATCTCCAGACATTAGCCGGGAGAGAGCGTACAGCACTCCCCCTGGTCTGTGCCATGAGCCCCGTCTAGGAGCTCTTGGGGAGGGCGGGGTGTCTGCCCTAGCTGGCTGGCTGGGTGCTGCCCCATAGAAATGCCCACATTAAGGGGTTTGGGGTCTCCCCCAGCCCCAGAGCTGGGAGGTGGCCTGCAGTTGTTGGCCTGCTGGAGGCTGTGGCTTCCTCTCCCTTTTCCTGCCGTCCCTCCCCTTCCTGTGCCCCTGGAGGCTGCTACACTTCTTCCCCCCCCCTTCTCCCCCCCCCCCCCCAGCTGCAGCGTCACAGCTGATAGCATCAGCCCTTTCTCAATCACCTCACTGAGCTGAGCAAGGAGGGCAGGCCAGAGAGCGCCCAGCCTGCCAGCTGACTCCTGCCCCAGCCCTGCAGGATCCCAGCTCCATGGGAGCACTGAATGGCTCCTGCACAGACCAAGCACCCTGGCGGGGAGACACCTGGCAGCCGGTGTCCTTGCACTCTCCTTGGCTGACTCATCCCTCGCCCCAAGGGCTGCCTGGGCTGGCCTCCCTGCTCTCCATAGCTGCAGGGTGCAGGGCCTGGGATCCTGGCTGACCTCTTCTCTTCCTGTCCTTGCAGGGCCTGGCTGTGTCAGACGGAGGTGAGTCACACCCTGCCTGGGAGATGTGGGGGTGGCGTTAGGAGGAGCCGGAGAGTGGTAACCAGCTTGACTCAGTGCCCAGCCCCAGTGGGAGCCAGGAGCCCTTATGGCTGCTCAGCTGGATGGTACAGAGCCCCTGCCTGGCTCACCCACAGCTCCGGGGGCCATGGGGGGTGAGGTGGGACTCCCTGTGGGGGGCAGAGCTCCCTCCTATCCTTCCCCTCCTGCGTCACTCAGGAGATGGCTGGATGCACAGGCACTAGCCTGGCTGCCCCTCTGACAGTGCCCGGACCCCTGCCCAGTGCCTGCCTACCTCCCTCTGGACCCTGGGCTGCTGGCAAAGGCTGATGCCCCTCTCCTGACCAGGAGACTCGCCCGTACCTGAGCCCAAGGGCCCAGGCCCGCTGAACGTCATGCGCCCCTCTCCAAGCTGTCCCAGGCTCTCTGCAGCTGCCGTGCTCCTGCTCAGGTCATGTTTGGCAGAGTCTCTTGCCCTGTCTGCCAGCGTCCTGGTGGTTCTGACGTGTCAGACAGGTCCAGTGTGGCCCGTGGGCCCTAGATCTGGCGCCCCTGCTCTGGAGTGTCTGGCTTTAGGGCTCCCGGCCCTGCCCTGCCAGGACAGCGCCTCCCCATGCTGTCCCCTCCGGCTGGGCGGGGAGCAGGCCTGGCTCCAGGGAGTGGGGCAGGGCCTGACCTCTCTTTCTGCATCTCAGAGTTAAACAGCTCCGGGGCCCGTGGCAGTAGCCACAGTGTACACAGCCTGCCTGGTTCCCAGAACGCAGGCTGCGCTGCAGAGCTGCCCGTGGCTAGCTGGGCCGAATCCTTTGAGACGCTGCTGCAGGACCGGGTGGCCGTCACCTACTTCACTGTGAGTGCCAGGGTTTGTCAGACCCCGCCGGGCCCATCCCACCCCCCTCAGTTCCCCCCATTCTCCATCTGCTGGCTTGTGCAGGGACTCCAGACAGCGTGAGGCCGGGGGGCAGAGCCTGGGCTGGCACCCTGGGGGAGGGTTGGGCTGGCCCCCCCGGGCATGGGCTGGGATGGCCCCCCCGTAGGGTAGTGGCATGGGTGAGGCTGATACCACCGTGCTCCTCTCCTGCTCCCCAGGAGTTCCTGAAGAAGGAGTTCAGCGCTGAGAACGTTTACTTCTGGCAGGCGTGTGAGCGATTCCAGCAGATCCCAGCCAGGAACACACAGCAGGTACCAGGCCCAGGGGAGGGCTAGGGGCTTGGCCATGCCCCACTCCTGACACAAAGCATAGGCTGAGGCTCGGACCTGGGCTGCCCCCCGCAGGGAAGCACATGCCAGGGCATCCGAAGGGACTTGGGCATCAGTAGGAAGCTCAGTGGAGACCCTGAGGGGAGCTGCAGCCAATAGCTAATGGGTTGAGGGGATGGAGAACAGCACGGAGCTCCCTTGGCCATTGTGTGCTGCACCGATCACCCCTGCGGGCCGTGCAGAACTGATGGGCTCTAAGAGAA